GGCGGGAGCGGCTCGCTGCCGGTGCGCAGCCGTCCGATAGAGATCTCGCGGATGGCGTCCCTCTGGACCCGGACATAAAGGCCTTTGATGAATTATTGGATAATTCCCTCCGGAGACTCGTGGCAGCTGCCGAGAAGATCGGGGGCCAGATCCTTGAGGTTACGAAAATACTGGAGCAGGCCTTCTTGGTTGAGAAGGAGCTTCTCATTCAGGCCAAGCAGACTCAGGTTGGCTGTTTTATGTATTTATTCAACGACTGAATTTGGTGACGTATATTGTTACAGGGATCATAAAGATTGTATACATGATTTCCTTTTATTTTGAATGATATAATCTGTGCACTTTACATCTCCAGGAAATTTTACGTAGGAAAATGTGCCGTTCTGTTTCATAACTTTCGCAGTTCAAGTTCTATGTAAGGAATGTTGATTTTCCGTGCTTTATACGTTGATTTTGAAATCTCTATATGTATGGACGGAAATGTGGTAGAATTGACAAGTACCTACCTCACGGTACCCAGCCTCATTCAACAAATCTTGTGCCATTCTCTGTTCACCTATTACAGTTCCTACCCGTAAGCTTATGGTTGCTCTTTCTGCTACCAATCAAGAGTTGTCCAATTTTGTTTTTATCTGTAATTTTTGGGAAAAAATGTCGCATAACTCTATCGTATTCCTATGTACAGTCAGACTGAGTGTGGTGTATTCAATATATTGTCTGAAAATGTATTTTTGTGTACGCCATAAGTCTATATGTACATTCATCATTGGAATATTTTACATAGAATTTTTAGGGTTCAGGTCCGCCCTTCTCCTACAAGAACTTCCATAATTATGTCTTGAAACAGTTTGAAATATATTTTCTCTTGTACTTTTCCCCAAAACTTTTTACCAATTGATGTTGGACAATACTAAAACTTTCTAGGCGACGAAGATAAAGAGCAATGGGTTGTCTTAGCAAGGACTAAGCGGGCAATCTTCAATAAACTTTCAAACTAAACTTTAAATAAATTAGAGAAAATGTATATTTTATCAATTTATAGTACATGAACATCCAATATAACTACATTAAAATAAATCTAAATTAAATTGAGGATTCTAATGTATAAAAGAAATAAAAAAACATATTACAAAGGTTTTGACACGAGGAGACTTGACAACCACATTTAACAATGTTAATGGAATAAACACAAGACCTTAGCCTCAATTAGTTTTTTTCTTTTTGACCCCAATCTTCCAACCTTGGAAGTCCTCCAAGAGTCGACACACACTGACAAAAGAATTCCTAAAAAGTGAAGCAAATTTTTCTTTTATTCATAAATACATTACATGAAAAGTGGCTTACTATTTATTAACATAAGAAGGGGAAAACCAAGTATTACAAGCTAAATGAATGGGAGGGTAAGAGGTGGCGAAGCACTTGATGGTGGTGGGAGAATTCAAAGAATCCATGGAAAAGCAGGAGGAATGATGGAGAAGTCAAAGGGTAGTGGAGAAAACAAAGACTTGAGAATGGGGAGACATGATGGAGCATGGGGAGATGGTTAAATCATGATTCATGATATAATAAACACCCAAATCCTAGTAAAACATTAGATCCCACATGACCAAGAAGCATAAAATGGACTAAAAATATGTAAAAATAGAGACACTAACCTCACAATTCATTTTGCCATTCAATACATAAAAATCTCATATATAGAAAATGTGGTTCGTAGTTCCGTAAAATCTATTCTATGATTGTATGACGACTTTAAACAACATGCTAACACCAACAATCTAAAATTCAAAAGGGATGAGTCCGTAAAATCTAGTCTATGATAGTATGACGACTTTAAACAACATGACATGACTGACACCAACAATCTAAACTTCAAATGGAATGAGTCGATGCATCGCCCAATGATTTTATCAACATATTGTCGTTATTGATATTTTAAACAACCTACTTAACTAGTAAGTTATTATTGAGTTGCTCTGTGTTCCAAGTTTATCCAATATTAGAAGGGAGAAAATTCGTGTATGTTACTTGACAGAAAGTTTTTCCTATATGTAGTCATGACATATGATCACAAAAGGAAATTAAAAAAATGAGTTTAGTATTCTTAATTAAAAAGACATGAAATATGATAAAAATGTATCTCTAATTTAGCGCTTTTTAAAGATAGTATCTTCCATTTCTATTATTTTTTCTTACAATAGTACTCCTGTATAAGCAACATTATGTACATAAAAAAACATCAGTTTGTTATCAAGATTGAAAAAGATGAAGAGGCCCTAGATTTCAACCAAACTTTTTTCTCTTTATACATGGAAAATGATGGGGTTTTTTTTCTTGACAAGATTGCATCTATGAGGAAGCAATTACCTACTTCTTTTATGCAATATTAAAGTACTTTCATTTAGATAATTTGATTATCTTAGTTAAGGATCATAGTATATGTGATATGAATGTCTAATTCTTTTTCATGAGTTTTGATCCATATTATTTCCCAAATAGAATGAACTATGGTTCAATATTCATCTTCAACTTTTGATCTAACTACAAATATTTTTTTTCTTCTTTTCCGGGATATGATATTGTCACATATAAGGACACTATCTTGAAGCAAATTTTTTATCAATAGATTCAATATAGTCAGCATTGTAAAAAATTTTGTCCTCAAATGATTATGTTTCTAATAGACTTGCACTTCTCCTGGAAATTTCTTCACACATCTTAAAATTTCTTAGGCAACATCTCACTATATATGCTTTTGATTTTGCATATGCGGCTAATCAAACTTAAATGAGTAGTGTATAAAATTGAGTGATAGTCAAGTAGAAGATTTTTTCATCAGGACTTTGATATCGAGAAGGATCTTCATAGCTTCTACCATTCTCAAATGAATGTAAAGTTTTCAAGAGAATCAATAGGTTTACACCTAAGAAGATCACTGGAAGTTCTATGGCTTATTCCTTTAAAAGAGAAACCACTTCCTAGTTATATTCAAATTTGATGCCAAGGGAATATTTGGGATGCTCCCTTATCTTTGGAGACAAATATCTTTTACAAATAATACTACATTTTAACAGTTTTTAATATCTCACTTCCATTGAGAAGGATATGATCAACATAAATAACTAATATCATTATATTATAGAAAGTGTGTTGAATATAGATGGTGATCATCCTTAGTAATTGTTGTCTATTGTCTGCAAGAATTTAACAAATTTTATCAAATCAGGCACAAGGATATTGTTTCAATCCGTGTAAAACTCTTTTATGCTTGCAAACTTCATTCTCTCCTATGCAATATACTCAGTATGTTGTTCTACACAAGATGTTTTATTAAGATTCTCATAAAGAAAGGCCTGACTAATATCCATTTGTAAAATATTCATCTTTAATTGATGGCAATATATAGAAGGGGATGACTTGACTTTGGCTGGGCCATTTGTGGGGAGATTTGAAAGTCATATCAAAGATTTGAGTGTATCCTTTCACCACTAGGAGAGCCTTGTTATGATCAATAGAGCCATTATAAAGTGCTACATATCAGCAAGTCATGGATTTAACAATAGCAAAAGATGTAACCAATTACTACGTTTGTTAATCAAGATGTGCTTCCACTTTTTTTTTTCATAGCTTGTTTCCAATGTGGTCAAGCAAAGGTTTCATAAAATGTCTTAGGAATATAATGGACAAATTGTCAAAGAACCTTATGAAAGAAATATGAAGATAATTAAAAGATATAAAAAAAAAATTATCAGATGATTAGTGTGTTGGCATTTACCTTTGTGGAGAGCAATAAGAAATTTTTGAATTGTTGGCTAGTGGTATTAGATGTTTAGCCGTATTTGAAGAGATGGAAGGAAGTGTTGGAGTAGGCTATGATCAAGGGTTAAGAGTTTAAACTTGTAAGGGAGAACAAACGATCATTGGGACTAAATTGATAAAGGCACATATAGAGGTGTGGTTGTAAGATTTGAGGTGGCAGTGAAAGAAGGGAAGGTCTCATTAAAAATAACATTAGTAGAGAAATAAAATTCAAATAAAAGGATCATAACAATGAAAATTTTTTGAGTACTAGAATAACCCCAAAAGATACATTAAATGCGATGAGACAATGTTTTTGTGGTTTGCACGAATGGAATGAATACAACTCATACAATTGAATGCATGAGGTGTTAAGTGAAAATATTTATTGGGATAAATAATAAAATATAAGTCTTGGGAATTGAGCAGGATAATTTCATTGATATGAAAATGTTATATAAATACATGTTACATGAATTTAAAATAGTAAAGACATAACACTCATATCACTAAGATTCAATTCCTTTCCTAATAATCACGAGAGATAAAAGAAAAGACATCACACTCATCAGTAGGAATTAATTTCTTTCCTATTAACCACCCGAAGATTAGAGAAAGAAAGAAAGTAGGAAATACACAAAATAAAAAATAACCGGAAAGAAAATAAATCAATACTAATAACTTCTAACGCTCCTCTTGAAGTTGAAACATAGATGTAAATCATGTTAAACTTGGATTTGAAATCGTTAAATAACAACCGAGGATGATTCTTTGTGAGAATATCTATCAATTGACCAATTGAGGGGACAACTAGAACAAAATCCTCTCAGGAATCGAGTTTTTCCTTGATAAAGTGACGTTCAATCTCCACATGCTTGGTACGACCATGTTGGACTAGATTACGAGGAATACTGACGGTGGTTTTATTGTCACAAAACAACTGCAGAGGAACAACGACCGACATATATAACTTGCGGAACATGATGTGTAACCAGAGGGCTTCACACACTCCTAAGGACATAGAATGAAACTCGGCTTCAACACTGATATAGGCAACCACGAAAAGTTTTTTACTTTTTAACGTGACAAGGTTTTCCCACATGATGGAGCAATAACTCGAGGTAGATCGTCAATCATAGATGAACCCAACCCAATCAACATCTATATAAACTGTAGTAGAGAGAGAAGTGTGATGAGAGAATAATAAACCTGAGCCCAGTGTGCATTTTAAGCAGTGGAGGATCCGACGGACAGCGGTGAGATGATGCTCGCAGGGGTCATGCATGCTTGAACTGACTTACAATACCAACAACGTGGCGAGATAAATGAGTTTATCTACTAAGAGTTGGTGTTGTGTTTTGTTTACCAGAATGGTATCGGGAACTTCTCCCAATTTCTCATTGGGTCTATCGAGACAAATGCCGGTTTG